TAGTAAGGCACTTGTTACTAGAAGCGTGGCACTTGTTACTACTAGCTTGTTTCTAAATCCGTTTTCTATTTCCTTCATCGATCTTCCCTCCTTTGGTGCTCGCTCACTTGTTCCAGACTTGGTAGCGCTTGACACCAGTCCGCCCCGACTGCCCCGATGCACAGCCGCCAATTCCCCTTGGTAACTGCTCAGACGCTCTTCCCCTCAGCGGCGGCCTCCAACTACCATCCCATCAAGTATGCTATCTGAGTAAATAAAGTTCAGAACCCACACCTTTGATTACAAAGGAGAGTGAACATGCAAAACAACGGTAAAATCCATTGAAGCGTCCACAAAAATGAACTTGAGGGCTCGACGCTTAGCTCTTCTCTGAGACCAGAAGAATCTTCGCCACCTCAGACGCGTCCAAATAAGAAAGGAAAGGTCTTAGCTGAAGGTTGAAAAGAACATGTCATATACGTATATATTTCGACAACATCTACGAGCGCTTCTTCAAGTAAGCCCGCCCTCAGGCGGGGGGAGCTTAAGTAGCTAGGAGCTTACTTCGCTCTTACTTAATTAAGAAAGGAGGGAGGGTGACAGGCTCAAAAGAAAACGTGTTACTAGTAGCGATGGCCTCCACCTACTAGCTTCTTGCTCCTAGTAGCGATGCCCTTTGTTCCTAGTAGCGTGTCCTCTTGTTTCTAGTAGGTAAGGCCAGGAGCGCCCCGTTCGTAGCGTCCGATCGGTCGGGGGTTCGCTCCGTCCGTCTTTGTCTGTTTTTGTTCGTGGCCGTGACGCCATGGCATCGAGCTGAAGAAGATTTTGCGCTCCAGCCACGACCCGCGAATGCGTCAAACCAATCTGCGACGCGAACAGTGCAGTGCCCAACGGAAGCGACGCGACGCGCGACTCGAAGGAGAACTTGAATGGAGAAAACCATCGCTACTAGGGCGGGAGGCCGTCACTATAAGTTCTCTTCTGGGAGTATGTCGGAATAGAATGGATTAGATAGCCTAGCATAAGCTAGTTTGATAGAGCCAAGTAGCGACGTTAGGAAGCCGACAACTCAAACAGTCACCAACTCAGGACATCTTGTTAGGGCTTTGATTTTAAGCCAAAGATCGACATAAAAGAGGAAACACACTAAGAGAACATCTCTAAAGAAGGTCTCAAGAAAATCTCCAAGTTTCCCCAAGAAATCAAGGAACCAAATGAATAGCCCGAGCTTTCCTGTGTCGCAGCCCAGTAGCTTCCTAGCTGCTACTTACCCCTTATTGCTAGGTAGTAGGAGCTTCCTCACGGCCAAGAAAAACATATACAAAGTCTTTTTGTTTCGCGTTTTTTGTTACTACTAGTAAGGCACTTGTTACTAGAAGCGTGGCACTTGTTACTACTAGCGAACCTTGTTTCCAACATTTCCAAAGGACGAATCTTGCCTCTTTCAACCACTCCAACTTGATATCCTCCCGGGCGTCCATTTGCTTTGCCACTCGCCTGCAACAAGTCGACAAGTCCGAGTTTGGAGGCCATCGCTGTTAGGTCCAAAGAAGGGAAAAACACCGGGAAGCGGCTTGAAAGAAAGTCTTGTTAGCAATGCCCGACAAGTCCTTTGAGTTTGGAACCAATGCCCCTCGGTGCCCCTCGGTGCCCTGTCCGTTTTGTTCCGCCCGGTGCTTGGAAACCGCTTCAAGCTGCAGGACGCTGTGTCTGGCTTCACGGGATCAGAATATCTTTTGAGTGCAACAACAGGCTTCAGTGAAACATTTTCTTCAGCCCTTCTTTAGAGATGTTCCTAGTAGCTTCTTGCTCCTAGTAGTAAGGCCAGGAGCCCCTAGTAGCGTCCTTGCTCCTAGTAGCGATGCCAGGAGCCCCTAGTAGCTTCTTGTTTGCAACATCGCGCAAGAATATACAACCCCTCTCTCTCTAGCAGTCTCTCGTTGGGCCCCCGAACGCAAAGGTGGAAATGATATCTGTCGCGCTGTACCCTTGATGCCAAATCTCGTGCATTGGAGCAAAGGTGCCCTGGCCGCAATTGCGGATTCGCGATGCAACTGTCAAGAGTCAACAACATGTTTGTGCACTAGCACAGGTACATCAGAAAGTCGAACGTGTGAACTACTCAGCTGTTCAGTATGCCCCCCAGCCTTCATATCCTTTTTAAGGCTTGCTTCCAGGCATCTTCGGATCTTCTCTGGCTGAGGCTGGTCATTCATCCTGCAAATCGCTAAAGGAACAAGTCTCCTTGTGCATCGCGACAATGGATTGCGTGTCTGCTTACACCTGGAAGCCAAATGGCGCACCCAAGGCGGTGCTTTTACAAAGCGCAACCTTGTCGAGCAGGACATCCCTGAGTAAAATTTCTAAAGGAAAGAAAGAAGGAAAGAGGGGACTACGGGTACAAAGGAAGCAAGAATAAAAAGACATCATGTGAAATAAAGCAACGAATAGGTGGAATAGAATAGAAATGAATAGAACAAAGGAAGCAAACACGCCTTCCTAACAAGACTCTATTTCTTTCCAAGCCTTTTCCCTTTTTTCCTGTCTTTTTTGGACCTAATAGCGATGGCCTCCCACCTAATAGCAATGCTAGAGTTAAGCTTCAGGAGCCAAATCAGTAGCGCGTGAGCTATCCTGCGTCCGTGGCGAACTAGTCGCCCTTAATTGAGAGGGACCAGTAGGGAGTGGGGGGAAGACCGAGCGGGCTAAAGATGCTAAAGAAAAAGAGTTGCTCCGTTCGTAGCGATGCCAAGAGCCCCTAGTAGCGTCCTTGTTCCTAAACTTCAATTATTACGTACGGACGGCGAGATATGATCTATAATCTATGTGCATACTTATTAAGTAGCTGTGTTATCAGATGGCTCTTTTCCTCTTTTTGCGCATGTTGCACCAACATTGCATCTTAACGCACGACGCACAACATTTCATTCGGATTGAATCTGGCCTGAAGACAGTGCTTCGGTTTATCTCACCGAAAGCATTGAAAGTTGACCTCAGAAAAGCTCGAGTAGCTCCTACAGATAGCGGACACAAAATTGAACACAACTAGACTTCTTCTTTCTATTGAACATACTTTTTGTGTTCCTTCTCCTACAATTCTTTTTCTTCACAAAGAACCAAAGCTTGCAATGATGTTCTTTCGACTTCTTCTGCTTTCCACGCCGCACGGCGTCCTTGTTCGGACCCTTCGCATGGGCAAGATGTTGGACGTGTCTGATTTCAAGTTTTGCATTTCGAAGTAGCTTTTCTCCTAATTTGTTTGACAGAAACAACTCCTTTGTCGCTTTTCTTTCATTAAAATGATGTGTTTAACCACAGTTCTTTAACTCTTCTTTCATGATTCTATCTCTTTTTGTTTTCGAAGCTAGGAGCCCTAACTGAGCGCCATTCAGGCAGTTGCGCATATCTCCCTCAGCAGCAAAGATCAATGCCTCCAGGCCTGAAGTGTCGTACCTGAGGAAAAGAGGAAAAAGGAAAGGACAACATGATATATAAAGAGGCGATGATCTCCAACCTACTAGCAGTGGCCTCCAAAGTGAAAAAAACATAATAAATGAAGAGATGAAAAGACAATAAGAAGATGAAGCGATGCACGAAGAGAGCCAATTTGAAGGGACCAAACACACAGCTCCACACGTTGAAAACAATTGTTTTTTTCGAGTCTCGACAAAGAGTGGGAAAAACGGATGAGACGCAGAAAGAAACAAAAAAACAAATTTCTTTTATTCATAGTTTTCAACTGGCCGCTCTTTGTCAAACAAAAATGGCTGCAAAGACTTTCAACACAGTAACAAGAGGCTGTTTCGTATGTCTTTGAAGCTTCTTAGTAACGTTTTTCTCTCAGATCTGTTTCGTGTCGCACGGCGCTCCCTCAGTCTCCAAGACCAGCTTCAGTCTTAGCATCATCTCCTACATGGCACGGTTGCAACACTTCTTTTTCCGGTTTCATGTGCTTTGCAACACTTGTACTACTAGTAACAAGAAGCTACTAGGGGCTCCTGGCCGTACTAGTAGGAGCAGGGACGTTACTAGGGGTGCTTTGCTGTTTTTCTGTTTGCTTGGCTCAAAGGACCTTGCTTTCAGGCCCTAGCCTCATCAGAAATTCGCCCGAATCTGAGGATAGCACACCGAGACCTTAAAGGACTGAATCCACAAACAAACACTGCAAACACAAGCAACTGTCCCTAAGAGCGATGGCCTCGAACCTAAATAGCAATGGTACAAATACAAGCAAATACACCTAATTTCTTCCTTTCTAATAGCTTCTTGTTACTACTAGTAAGGCACT